TCTCTAACTTTCTCCCCTCTCCCCTGAGCTCCCTCTCTGTGCAAACTCTCCTTCCCCTATCTAAAAATCACATACAGCAACCACCATCACCACCAACTAGACGTGCAACCCTGAGAAACCTAGGTTGAATTGGTGCTCTACCGTGGCAGTCACGGTGATCATTTCCTTGACTGAGCTGCGGTGGTTGTTGGGAATTTTTCGACAAAGGTAAGCTTCTAGAAACCCTTGGGATGTGTTTTAGGGTTAGATCGAAGCTTTTTTTAAGTTGTACATATGTGTTAATTACAGAAAATAGCTCCAAGTAGCTTTTCCTAGTTTTTCGAAGATCACTTCCACTTTCGAGAGTTTTTTGGCCAAACCACAACGAGTTGGCCATTATACAAAGTATCATTCTCTTCATCTCGTTGAGTACTACAACTTTGGTTTTTAAATCACTTGATTTGGTTGAATATCAAAGAAGTTATAGGCATTTGAATTTGTGCCAAAAAATCGGCCAAACCTTGGTCTGAAACCAGGTCGACCCGACTCGAGAACCCTCAAACCAGATTCCTTTGAGCCAGGTTACCTAGCCCAATAGGCTCAAGCCTAAACCCAAGTACCCAGCCCAATTGCCTAAGCCTAGAATCAAGGCCCAAGCCCAATTACCCCCGCCCAAACCCACCTCAGGCCCAAACCCAACACAGGCTTAAACCCAAACAGAATCGGCCCAACCCATAACCTAGGCCACGCGTGAGTGGTGCGTGAGCCTACTCGTGGGTGCTCGTGAAGGGCCGCTTATGCCGGCACGTGAAGCACACGTGCCTCTGCCGTCGTCCATAATAGCGATCACGGCGACACCGACAACTGTTCCGGCCAACTTTTTGGCGACCAATCTCGACTGCATAGCTGTCAGGGTAGCCACCCTATAGGCAGCCCGTGAGGGCACGTGTGACGGTGAGTGGAGGTACCTGAGGTTCGGCCTTATGTTTTTCGACATCCTGGATCTGTTTATGACGTCCGTTTTCTGAAATTTAATCGTTATGATAAAGTTTTATTAATGGGACCCTTTATGTGCTTAGGTGCTATTATTAGCAGCATTTCCATCCCTTCTATTTCACACAGCTCTTTGAAGACGGAGTATCTGTGAGTGGACCCCTTCTAAAATATGTATTTTACTATTAAAAATGCATACATGAAAACCATGATTTAATGGTGAAGTTTTATGAAACGTTTATGAGTAAATTGGATTTCTGCTTTATGATATTCATGCTTTATCGGTTTTACGTTCTTCGTGGTATATATGATTGATGACTATATACTACGAATATGTTTTATGATATGATGTTTTAGTTACTGAGCTCCATCGAGATATATGTACTTATGTTCGAAAGTATTATGTTCAATGATTTTTGTGCTTATCTAGTGGTCATTATATGCCTTTGGGTGGGTGCTGTAGGAGCCTACGAGCGAATGAAGAGTTCTCTATGCCTTAAGGCGATCCTGACACCACTATTTAGCACACTATATATGGTATATGTTTTACGAAGGTTTTATGGCATGCTAGGGTTTTCGGAAAACCCATTACATATTATACTATTGAGTTTTCATAAAACTTTGGGGGTTAGTACGTTGATGAATAACTGCTTCAGTATTACTTATATATCAACTTGGTCCACTCATGTTTTGTTTTGCGCCCCTTAGGAAATAAGAGCAAGGCATACGATCCGAGTTACGAGGCATTCACTTACCAGTGATATCGTGCCATCCTCTCTGCTCTTGACATCACTTGTAATAGCACTTTTCGCTTGTATTCTGAATTAGATGTATGCTCTGAACATGTCATGCATTATCACTATCATTTTATTAACAGTTGAATATTATTATATTGTGTAGTGTGCAAGAAATTTATATGCATGTTTCCAATGTCTCAGCATATGCATTCATTAAATGGCTTGCATCACCCTCGGGTGTCGGCCAGCACATGGCCATCCCGCTGTCCCTTGGACATCGAGATTGGGACGTGTGAATATCCCCTACCATAACCACCACAATAGACTAGGATTTTATTATTATACTTTGTTAATTTATGTGTACATTAATATATTATATATATTGGATAATTTGATCACTATTTTTCATATGTAAGTTTACTTTGAATATATCAATTTAAATTAAAGTAATTAAAAAAATAAAGTCATACGATTAAATTAAAAAAGTAAAAATTAAAAAAATCTTGCGCTACCAAATATTTTGTCGCGCAAACAATTGATATAATTAAATTAAAATAAGAGAAATAATAAAACAAAAAGTCAAAAAACCTTGAACGACAAAATATTTCGCCGCGCAAACAATATATTTTGTCGCGTAAAATATTAAATTAATTTAATTTAATTAAAAAATTAAAAACTAAAAATCTTTGCACAATGAATATACTTCGTCGGGCAAAGTATGTTCGTGCGATGAAGATTAATTTTCGTCGCGCAAACCCTATTGTCATGAGTTTTGTGCGACAAACCATGCGTGACAAAACTTTTGTCCCGCAAGGTTTTGAGCGACGAAATCATACTTGGCGCAACAAACTTATTTCGTCACACAAAGTGTTTTTTTATAGTAGTGCTTCTAAGCATGATGTACATAAACATGGACATGTATCTTGTGATGCAGCAATCTGAGTTTAATGAAGAATTGCAAAAGTAATTGCATTTGATGTGTGTTATAGTCTTTTATGCCATAGGCTTATGCTAACGGATCATATATAACAAAAAGGGGCCCTATATAAATTCACTCAAACTCCAACCTCAAAACAACTTTAGCTCTATATTTTAAGTTTCTAACAAGTTCAGAGCTCAGTGCCGACAAATTTAAGTTTACAGAGCAAAGTTCAAATAAATCAAATTCATCGTTTGACAAAAAAAAAATTAAATCAAATTTCAAAGACGAATTTCCAATTTTGTTTTGTGATTAATACACAAATAGCTAGCATCAATACTTACTGAGCTCGTGAAGTAGTGAAGTGAGCTCGTGAGAGCTGGAACTCCTTCCCAGACAAATATACCCTTAGTTGTCAAACAACATATAAACAATTACTCGCAACACACCCACCTAATAACCCCAGAATTTATTCTTCAAAATTCTCATTCTTTTTTTTTTTTTTTGGTAAAAAAAATTCTCATTCTTTAAACAGTGGTTTGGGAGCTGCTCAGAATAATTATCTCATTCTCTCACTCCATTCTATAGTACCGCCCCTTAAATAGAGAAGAGAAAAACGACATCTGAAATCCCATGTGCACCACTGCCACTTCCCTTTAAAACTTCTCTGCAAAACTATCAGACCTGTCCAACTCATATCTTAATATATGAAGAGAAAAACCCAACCAATCGCCATTAAAACCGTTTTACATAGATGTAGCACTTCGTAGAAGCCGAAGCAAACAATCTCGCTTTCCCTAAATTAACAAGCCCCGTCCTTGTACACATTACACAAACATGCATTGGTTGTTTTAAATTTATATTCTGCCTTTCATTTTCACATGCATCGTAGAAAACAAAGTCCTACATCGAAAGCTTCTCAAATCATTAAAACAATCATCGATTCATATCTTCTTGTGGAATATAATTGTTGGGTGCGACTTAAATTCCTTCCGAATAATTGCCATTTTCATATTTTTCCCTGTGAAACTCATTAAAGTGGACACAGTTCGGGCTCAGTGTTAATAAAGGTTGAAATTTTAAAGAACGCAGCAGAATGATCGCCCTAGGGTTAGGGTTTATATAATTATTTTGGGGATGTTGTTTCTAAAACTAAAATATAAAAACAATAAAAATAAAAAAATCAAGAATTAGGGTTTTATCATCGGCTTTTGAAAATAAAATATACGATGAATAACACAAGAAGATCCAAAAGATGCTTAGTTATGTAGCGGCCCAGAGGTGGTGAGACGATAATATTCTCTTTCGTGATTAAAGAAAGTTGGTTTAATTATATAGTCTGATGGTAATGAATAGTTAATTAGATTGATTCCGTTGAGTTGGTGGCAATTTTGGACAGATTTGAGAAGAGAAGGGGGAGATAAAAAAGTGAGACAGATAACACAAGCAAATGGATTTTAGCGGGAGAGGATACAAAAAACTGAAACAAAAGAGATCTGACGGAGGTGATGATAAAAATACAAGAGAAAAGAGAATCGATGTTGGGAAGTATCTGACTTTATGTGGCTTTGAAAATGTCATCTCTCTGGAGAGTCTCGAGTTTTTTTCTTTTTTGTTTTTTTTTTTGTGTGTGTAAGTTGAGTTGTCTATGACCCTATCTGACGGAATGTCACTGAGGTAGTACTGAATGGGAAAAAGAGTCACGATATTCCATGCAATTTTTAGTCAGTTTCTTCACCCTTCAAGCCCCACAATCAAATTCTCTCTCTTTCTTTCTAACTTCTAAACTCTTAACTGCACTCAGCATGTTTTTGATATCATTACTATAGTCAAATTTACTGCTTAGCCTATAACAAGCTTACCTCAAAGTTTTTTTTTTTCCCAAACAAAATTCTACATATGTTAAATCCATCTAAACTGTAAGCAAGAGAATTTGAACTTGAGTGCAGAGTGGAGAGCTGTTGCGTTGGTTAAGCTCAGCTCAAGTTAATTCTAATCACAGTTGATATTTAGACTAGAGAAAGGAGTTGGAGCTCCCCTTGTGGATGCATGAGAAATATCTTGGAAAAACTCTACATCCTAATTATATGCAGAATTGTTTACTCGTAAAAGTTATATACTGGTATACATCTATTCCATCTCAAAAACTCAGCATACAAAGCTACATGAAGATAATGATTGCACTTGAAAGGCGCTCAGAATCCTAAATTTCTCTTTCTTAAGTAATTTTTATGAACTTATTAATTTGTAAGGATCCTGTCAAGGAGCAAACAATTATATACAATGACAAATCGTAAGCTGAGATGCATTGTGATTATCAACAAAGACAAATCGTAATTAATTTCATCCTTTTCTGTAACTCCCATACGGTGGTTGTTACACCCTACACAAATTCATACAGCACTCCAAGAGGATGAAATCAAATTAAACAAAGTCAGAGGCCTTGGCCTCAAATATGAAATTAAGGGGAAAAAGGTGCAAACTAAGGAGGATTTCATCAAACAGACAAGACCAGCAAAAGGTCAAGCAGTAAACTTATATGTTTATATGATCAGCACTTGATATTGCCTCTCTCTGCTACTTATTAACTTTAATTACCTTAGGTCGGTCACCAAGCCTGAGCTCAAGATCCAATTCTTCTATAGAGCTGGAGCTAAATTCAAACCCTTCAGCTGGTTGGAGATGATGTACTCTATCAACAGAACCTGATTTTAGGAAGAAGGGTATCGATGATGGGATTTCATCCGTTCTTCTTCTCTTGCAACTAACTATAGCCTCATCACCGTCACTGGAGACAGAAGTACGAGCACAGCGGACAACCAAATTCAAGCTCACAGACAAATTATGATCATTATTTGCCACATGGTGATCACCTTTTGCCCTACAAGATCCAGAATATTCTACAACTCTCGAAATCTTCTCTCCTTCAATATGATCTCTCGCCACAGATTTGTTGTTATGATATCTGTTTGTGCCCAAGACTGACCAAGATTGAGGAGAAGATGCAGAAGAAGAAGAAGGTGGGATCAGGGTTTGCTCAGCACAATTCTTTTTACATGGTAGCTGAGCTGAAAGCTTAGAAACTGAGGACGGTGACGAAGTTGCAATAATACCGGGATCGGAACTAGGGTTTTTAGGGTTGTAAACCAGGGCACAAACTTGACGAGATGGGAATTGGAAACTACCCAAAGATGATGAAAAGGGATTATTAGCACTATTTTGGACAGAATGATCATGATCCTGATGATGATGAAGGTTGTTTTGAAGGGCAGTTTTGTCATTTGGAGACTGCTTTAGTCTAGCCCTGTCTCTCCTGTGAACATTCATGTGGCCGCCCAGAGCTTGCGCTGAACGGAACTCTCTCCTACAGAAACTGCAAGAATAAGATCTCGGAGGCCATATGCAGCCTCCGAGAGGCCCTGCTGCGTCTTCGGCGAAAGCTTGTTCTTCCCATGAATCATCGTTTGAAGTTGGCACTTGAACATGATGATCGTGATTGGATGAACTCAAGCTGTTGTGTTTGCGCTTTGCCCACATCCAATACCGTGCTTGTTCCATTGTTGCACTACTCTCTGCCGCAAGGCTCAATTGTAAGGAAAATCAAATTCCAAAAAATATAAAAAAAGATGAAGGGTAATCAAAGTAGATGGGGTTATGAAAGAAGTGCAATAATATTTGAGTGTATATATTTAAGTTGGAGTCTGAAAAGTACATGGACTGATCTGAGCCGAGGACGTCTGAGAGGTTGCTTAGGGTGATGTTTGATTGGAAGGTAATCAAAGTGGCAAATACTCTATGCCTTGCCTGATAAAATGGTAGCAACTTTTTCTTTTTGTTTAGTATTTCTGGTTGGCTTGCAGTCAGTACTTATATTTTCTCTCTGTTTTTTTTCTTTGGAGGGGGAAGCAATTAATGGTTTAACATATAATAAATCACTGTTGCGGGTCCTGATCTGATGAGTCCCTCTTGTAAGTTGAGGATGCTTAGAGACAAACTGAAACAAACTGACTGAAATCTCCTTATGTAAAAGAGTGCCAAGATGCTTCAATTCCTCCTCCTTTGTACTTAAATTACATATACAATCAGGCTACACATGATATCATGCATCATCATTATTATATCACTAGAGACATTCAAACTTCAGAGTGCGACCGTCACACAATAAGATAATGTACAATTTATAACTATATACAGTAAATTAAGGCCGTCAAGAAGATAAATCGTATTTAAACGAATTAATTTCTCCAACTAATTAACATATATATCATATCGGTCAACATATCATATATAACTACAAGTATAATTCTCACTGAACAGTAAACTTAGATTAAGAGGCTAAAAGACTAATTAGCAGAAAGGTAGCCTTGACGATTTTGTTTCAATTCTTTTGTTTTACTCATATTCCAAAGATATACACGTGTGCCGAATATTGTTCGTAGTCGTCTGGGTTGACAAGAAGCCGTCCGTTGTTGAACTTCTGGCAAGTACGTAACAAGATCTAGAACACAGCCCGAGGGCCAAGACACATCCAGTATTGGAAAGAGAAGAAAACACCTCATACTTAAAGAAAGAAAAAGAGAAAAAGCAATGGCGATCGTGCAGATTGCTCCAGGTTTATATTTTGGGAACTAGATCCCCTCCGGATCCAAGAGATCTGAGTCTACTAATCAATGAATCCGGATCATTGAAATTTGATCTAACTGTTACAAACAATGGGTCCCTCTAAAAGTTATAATAATTGTAGTCGTTGGATTAAATTTCAATGGTCCGGATTCATTGATTAGTGGGCTTAGCTCCTTTTAGATCCGGAGGGGATCCAATTCCTATATTTTGATCTTCTCTCACTCCTTTACATCAACTTAGCTTTTTATCCAAACTGAGCCAAAATGATCTTTGAGATTGGTATAACTCTTTTAATTTGGTTTTTGAGATTTAAAATTGACAGAAGTAATCTCTGAGATTGTTAAAAAATTTGGTCATTCCGTCAAAATTTTCTATTAAATTGAGGGCATTTTTGTTAAATCAACCCTTCAAATTGAATTGGTAGTTTCATTTTTGTTAAATCAACCCTTCAAATTGAATTGGTAGTTTCTTCAATTTAATGGAGATTTTTAACAAAATAACCAAAATTATTAACAATAAACAATCTCAATGATCACTTCTATTGATTTTAAATCTCAAAAAACTAAATTGTGCGAGATAAATCGGACTTTTATTTATTTACATTTTTGTTGAACAGAAAACCGCAAACATAACAAAACCTACAACAGAACAATTGTACAACTTGGCCTAATCAAGTTTATTAATAGATTTACACATATGATTGCACTTATAAATCATGTACCTATGTATATATTCAAACAAATTTAATATTGTACGTTATCAAAAGAGTAAGATCACAATTTAACCTATCGATGCATTTAATTTTAATGAAAAACTAATCATTGACTATAGATACTAGTAAAAAAAAAAAAAAAAAAAAACATCTTGCGTGACAAAACGCACATCGTCGTGCACAGCAAAATTTTAAAAACTGTTAGCAATGTGTATAAAAAATAAATGAAATAAAACTTTGGGCGACAAAATTGTCGTCGCACAAACCATGGATTTTGTCACACAAAGTCAATTTATTTTATTTTTTATGTATTTTAAATTGTAAAAGAAAATTATTTCTTTTTAATTTTTTCAAATTTTCCGCAACAAACTCTCAATATATCGGTGCAAAATAAACTTATTTAATTTTATATTTAAAATTGTAAACGATTGTTTTCTTTATTTTATTATTTGTTAAATTTTGCGCTATGAAATCCAAATATTTTGTCTCACAACGTGAATTTATGTTCTTTTACTAATTCTATATTTTAAATTATAAAAGTAAATTATTTGTTACTTTATCTTTTTTATAACTTTGTGTGCCGAATCCTATTATTTCATCGCATAAACTAAACTTATTTTCTTTTTATATTTACTTTTACATTTTAAATTGTAGAAGAATTTTTTTTTATTTAATATTTCATAACTCAAAACTTAAGAAAATGAAAAAGAAAAAAAAATACATCATATTGATAATATAAAGTTGTTTCCTTCTTATTTTATTTCATTTTGAAAATTTCACAACGTTGTTGCATAGACAATCTTCAAGACAATACGAGTGCATATTAGGTGGGATATGGATGATATAATTCAACTTTTGATTCACAAAAGGGAATTGTTATTGGCACTCCAAAATCTCATTTTACACTCCAATTTTCTATATTAGAAAGAAAAAAACACGTGACGAGTGTATAATGAGATTTGTGGAGTGCTAATAACAGTTCCCTTCACAAAATTCTTATATGTATAAGTGATACAATGTAATTCAATTAATTAATGATTAACATTTTTAAACCACCCTAACGAGCATATGAAATCGTTGAACTTATATTGCAAAGTCTATGAATGGTTCAACCAACATTTGTAGTTTCCTATTGTTATGGCACTATATGTTAAAGCTCTTGTAAACATAAGTGGTATAGTGTGATCGGCATTTTGGCAAAGACATTTTCATAATTTGAGCCGCTCAAAATTTAGACCTCTCCTTCAAGATCATAAATAAGAAAAATTACTCAATACTGAAATGAAGAAATCATTCTTTAGTAGTTGAAATCAAGAATGGATGAGAATTAACTAACATGTTTGCACAACGAATACCCACATTTCGTCGTACAAAGGAGCCTTTGTGCAATGAAATACTTCAATTCGTCGAGCAAAGGTGTCATTGCACGATGAAATACTGGTATTCGTCGCGCAAAGTATAAGTGATACAATGTAATTCAATTAATTAATGATTAACATTTTTAAACCACCCTAACGAGCATATGAAATCGTTGAACTTACATTGCAAAGTCTATGAATGGTTCAACCAACATTTGTAGTTTCCTATTGTTATGGCACTATATGTTAAAGCTTTTGTAAACATAAGTGGTATAGTGTGATCGGCGTTTTGCAAAGACATTTTCATAATTTGAGCCGTTCAAAATTTAGACCTCTCCTTAAAGATCATAAATAAGAAAAATTACTCAATACTGAAATGAAGAAGTCATTCTTTAGTAGTTGAAATCAAGAATGGATGAGAATTAACTAACATGTTTGCACAACGAATACCCACATTTCATCGTACAAAGGAGCCTTTGTGCGATGAAGTACTTCAATTCGTCAAGCAAAGGTGTCATTGGACGATGAAATGCTGGTATTCATCGCACAAAGTATATTCGTCAAAAATTGTAAATGATTTAGGGTTTTTGGGTATTTGGTCATGCAAAGCTTTTAGCGACGAAATTTTCCTCGTGCAAAACCCTAAAAATTTGGGCAAGTGACAAAAAGAAGGCGCGGGAAAATTATTTATGTTTAATATTTATAAAACTTTGTTCGCTAAATGGGATGCTTTGTGCGACGAAAGCGGGTCTCAAACATGGGAAGCGGAAATTTATTTTTAAAAACTTTTCACGATTGACAGGAAGTTATTTATCGCGCAAAGTGCTACATATTTTAAAACCAAATTAACTCCACACACAAAAAAAAAAAAAAAAAAAAAAAAGAACCTCCACAATTTTCTCATTATCTCTCTCGCTTCTCTCTTTCCCTCTCCCAAATCCAAACCTCTCTCTCCCTCTCTCTAGCTATCTAACTTACTATATTCTCTCGCACACTCACTTTCTTCTCTCTCTCTCTCTCTCTCTCTCTCTCACTCACTATCTTCTCTCTCTCACACTCACTTTCTTCTCTCCCTCTCTCTCTCTCTCTATCTCTCAATGTCTCACGTTCACTCTCTCCTCTCTCTCTCTCTCTCCCCTTTCTCACTCACTCTTAATCTTGCCAAAAGGCATTTCCTCCCTAAATTTTAATTTTTTTTCAATGATGTGTTTTTGGAGTTGATTTTGGGTTTGAATGGGCCGGGTTTAGGATGGGGGTAAAGTTTGGGATTGGATTTAGGGTAAAGGTATGGTGTTGGGAGGAGGGTGGGGCTTTGAGGTCGGATTTGGGGTGCCTGGGGAGGGGTGTGGGCTTTGGGGTCAAATTTGGAGGTGGGGTGGAGTTTAGGGTCCGATTTAGGGTAAGGTAGGGGTGGGATGGGTGTAGGCTTTGGGATTCGGGTTTAGGGTGGGGCTAGCCTTTGGGGCCGGTTTTGGCCTTTGATGGTGGGGGGTGGGGTCGGTGTGGTCCTAAGGCTTGGGTTTTACGTATGTTTTTTGTTTCTGAGTATAATTAAATTGTGATGATTATAATTGGTTGGTTGCTTGAAATAAATTGATCTAACTGTTTCTAGCTTATGGGGAATGTTATATTTTTAGGGGAGGTTAGGTCGATTTTTCGGTAGAATTTTATGTTGGTTTTTGGTTATTTAACTATGTTTGTTGTTTGTAAGGAATCGTTGGGACTATGACGACAGAAGTTAAGGAGCTAAGGAGGCAGCTAGCATGGCACACCTTAATCGGAGTTGAGGTATGCTGGCCATCACCCAAAGGTAACGTAACAAAAGTGTGAATGATGTAAAAATGTAGATAAATTAAAACCGAAACTAGAACTTATTTAAACTACTAAAGTAAGTGCGCAGTAATGGGTATAACCGATAGAATACAAATGTTCAGAGCATAGACGACAAATAGTGCAGTCGAAACTAGAAAAGTACTTAGTACATAACTAGAAACAGTTTCTACATTTATTTGGGATATGTCAGAATCGCCGGCTAATCCTCGTATGCCATAGAGTAATTCAGCTAACTAGG